AAGTGATGAGGCTGCTCTCACTTCCCTGGGGAGAAGAGAAGATTTCAGTGTTTGAGAGTCTCTCCTGGTAAGCAGACTCCATCAGCCTCCGGATGTCAGCCAACCTCTGGGTCCGGAATCTCTTTATTTCACTAAGCAACTCCACACCCCTCTTGATAGTCATACTCTTTACCTGTTTCTACAGTGTTAAAGCCCCGCTTACTGCCACCCAGCTAAGCGATTCCTGTTTCACCAAGGTGAGACTGTGTGGTCCCTTTTCCTGGTCTAGACCAGGGCTACTCAACACACTGATTGTTTGTTGCAGCCCATGGTGCAGTTTGGGTTACACAGGACTCAACACACGGCCGGCGGCTAGAGAAAAGAGTCAATAGAATGGTCTTCTGCTGAGATGCCGATCAGTAGTTAAATTCCTGGACTGTCATTGCTCATGACAAGTGCTGTCATATGGGTGGAAATGGGGTAAATGTTGCATTTTATTAATATCAGCAGAACTGACTGAAATGGGCCTGCGCGTTGTATAGTCTTGCCTTAATCTTTGGATTCATGCCCGTCAGTGTGAAAGAAGCTATTTGCATATATATTTGCTGTACATGCACTCACACTTAAGTTGCAGCCCTCGGCATGTGCTATAAGTATCACTGCGGCCCTCGGGGCTTCCAAAGTTGAGTAGCCCTGGTCTAGACCATCCGTGACAGGTGTCTGTCCAGCCTGCTCTTAAATATCTATGACTATGAAATGCTAAGGGAGATTGGAGAGGCTATCAAAATAAACTCAATAATAGTGGGGGGTTTCAATTATCCCCATATTGACTGGGTACGTGTCACCTCAGGACGAAATGCAGACACAAAATTTCTCAATACCTTAAATGGCTGCTTCTTGGAGCAGCTGGTACAGGAACCCACAAGGGGAGAGGCAATTCTCAATTTAGTCCTGAGTGGTGCACAGGATCAGGTCCAACAGGACCATACTAGAACAACATTTAACATCCCTGTGGTGGGAAGAACCCCTCAGCAGCCCAACACTCTGGCATTTCATTTCAAAAAGGGGAACTATGCAAAAATGAGGAGGTTCGTTTACAGAAATGAAAAGGTACAGTGACTAAAGTAAAATCCCTGCAAGCTGCACGGACACTTTTCAAAGACACCATAACAGAGGCCCAACGTAAATGTAGAGCCCAAATTAAAAACCACAGTAAAAGAACTAAAAAAGAGCCACTGTGGCTTAACAACCATGTAAAAGAAGCAGAGAGAGATAAAAAGGCATCTTTTAAAGAGTGGAAGTCCAATCCTAGTGCGGAAAATCGAAAGGAGCATAAACACTGCCAATGAAGTGTGCAAGTGTAATAAGAAAAGCCAAAAAGGACTTTGAAGAACAGCTAGCCAAAAAACTCCTTTGCTTTGTACCCAGATAGGATAGCAGAAATAGGCACTTCTACTCGCCCACAAAAGCTCATCACCTAATAAACTATCTTGTTAGTCTTTAAAGTGCTACATATTTTTTCCTTTTAATTCAGGGCAAGACAGTCTCCTTTGCTTTGTTCTGGCACACGACACAAGGGACTACTGCATGAAGTACTTTCACAGGCCTTCTACACCGCAGGTCACTGTTCAGCCAAGCGTCAGTCCTAGGACCAATCCTATTCAACTTATTATAAACGATCTGGAGAAAAGGGTAAGCAGTGAGGTGGCAAAGTTTGCTGACTATACTAAACTGCTCAAGATAGTTAAGACCAAAGCAGACTGTGAAGAATTTCAAAAAGATCTCCCCAAACTAAGTGAGTGGGCAACAAAATGGCAAATGAAATGTAATGTGGATAAATGTAAAGCAATGCACATTGGCAAAAATAACCCCAACTATACATATAATATGATGGGGGCTAATTTAACTACAGCTAATCAGGAAAGAGATCTTGGAGTCATCGTGGCTAGTTATCGTGAAGACGTCCACGCAGTGTGCAGCGGCAATCAAAAAAGCAAACAGGATGTTAGAAATCATTAAAAAAGGGATAGAGAGTAAGACATTATATAAATCCATGGGATGCCCACATCTTGAATACTGCATAAAGATGTTGTCTCCATCTCAAAAAAGATCTACTGGCATTAGAAAAAGTTCAGAAAAGGGCAACTAAAATGATTAGGGGTTTGGAACAGGTCCCGTATGAGGAGAGATTAAAGAAACTAGGATTTTTCATCTTGGAAAAGAGACTAAAGGGAGGTCTATAAAATCATGAGTGGTGTGGAGAAAGTGAATAAGGAAAAGTTATTTACTTGTTCCCATAATATAAGAACTAGGGGCCACCAAATGAAACTAATGGGTAGCAGGTTTAAAACAAATAAAAGGAAGGTCTTCTTTGCATAGTGCAGTGTCAACCTGTGGAACTCCTTGCCGGAGGAGGGGTGAAGGCTAGAACTAGAACAGGGTTTAAAAGAGAACTAGATAAATCAATGGAGGTTCAGTCCATGAATGGCTGTTGGCCTGGCTGGGTAGGAATGGTGTCCCTGGCCTCTGTGTGTCAGAGGGTGGAGATGGACGGCAGGAGAGAGATCGCTGGATTGTTACCTGTTTGATTCACTCCCTCTGGGGAACCCGGCATTGGCCACTGTCAGCAGACAGGATACTGGGCTGGATGGACCTTTGGTCTGACCCAGGATGGCCGCTCTTATCTCCAGTGATGGAGATTCCACAACATCGCCAGGCAATTTATTCGTGTTTAACCACTCTGACAGGCAGGAAGTTTTCCCTCATGTCCAACCTAAAGCTCCCTTGCTGCAGTTTAAGCCCATTGCTTCTTGTCCTGTCCTCAGAGATTAAGGAGAATAAATCTTCACCCCCTTCCTTTTCAACATCCTTTTAGATACCTGAGCACTGCTATCATGTCCCTTCTCAGTCTTCTCTTTTCTAAACAAAACAAGCCCAAAT